CACAGCCTCTCTGGGCAGCTGCTCCAGGCTCGGGCACCCTCACACCAAAGAATTTTTCCTTATGTCCAAATGGAACCTCCTGGGTTCCAGTTTGTGCCCCTTGCCCCTTGTCCTGTTGCTGGGCACCACTGAAAATCAGAGTCTGGAGTCTGTGAAAGCTCTTCCATAGGCACATTTAGTGTGGAACTTTGTATTTCTCTTGCAGTTCACTGTCTCCTACATGGAGCTGGGGGGTTTTGCTGTCGGGGCTGTGATTCCTTGTCTGGGTGTTGGTGTTACGTGGTGGGTGGGGGGCAGGAACCAGCATCCCCATTACCACCAAACTAACTGTGTGTCACTTGCAGGTACATGAGTAGACCCGTGATGAGTGGCCCTGGTCTGTATGATCCTACAACCATCATGAACGCAGATATTTTAGCCTATTGCCAGAAGGAAGGATGGTGCAAACTAGCATTCTACCTTCTATCTTTTTTTTACTACCTATATGGGTAAGTTTTTCCCTTCTCTTTCCCCCTTAATATTCAGTCTGAAGTTCTGGCTCAGTGCACGAGAAGAACGTGTATAATGCCAACTTCCCTGCAAAAAACCCCACAGCCCTATTTATTGCTTTAAAACACAAACCTTAATTTGGTTGGAATTAGTATTTTGAGCTCTATACCATGCTCAGAGACTTGAACACTCCAAGCTTTTCCTCCTTCAGCATTGTCTTTGTTCTGGGCTCCCTGTTTCTGTGGCCCTTGGTTCAGGGACAGCCGAGGGTTGGATCAGCTGATGTTGTGTTTCTGATGTGTTTTGTGTCAGGTCTCCCACCTGTCTCACACAGAACAGGCAGCTGTATGAGGAATTGTGTCCTGCTAATGGAAGTGGTGCTCTTTGATGTTTGTGTTTTCTTTTCCAGCATGATTTATGTTCTGGTGAGCTCCTAAGAAGACCTTTGGCAAGCTTTGTTCCAGTTAAGTGCATGCAAACGCCACGAAACGTGGATTCCTCACAACGAGAACCTCTTACCAAGATTAAATATGGAATCTGATCATCAAGTTAGGAAATGACATCTCCCCTATTTTTAAAATATTTCCACATTTTATATTTGTGGAAAGACTGTTTTCTTATTCTTCACTGGGACGCTGAAATTAAAGAATTACGTGTAAATTAACATAAAGGTGACGGGGTTTGGAAAAGCTTTGACCTTGCACTCCATAAGGAACAGCCATAATCTCCACGTGCGGGTTGTCACCGAGTAGCTGTAGGACACCAGGGGTTTGCTTTAGGCTGGGCGTTGTAGCGGCGCCTTTGGACTTGGCTTGTCCCCCTCCAGCCATCAGGAGGTGCTTGGGGAGGACTGGGAGCACCCTGCCAGTTCCCTGTAGGCCATGCTGCTCTCAGGAGATGAATTCATGGACACAGTTGGGAAAATAGGAACCCTGGTTTGGTTTATTGTGGTTTTTTTTTTTTTTTTTTTCTCTTTCGGGTTAATCTTTCCCTGTATATGCATGGTCCAGAGACTTCTGTATTTTCACCGAACGTTCAGCCTTGCTTTAATCTCAAGCCTGTGTCATTGTGATAGAAGTTGAATTGTCCATGAAGGGGTGAATTTAAATGATGATTTTTTTTTAAAAAAAATTACTTAATTTTTTAATGTTTCTTCTGTCTTATTAACAAATGGACAAATCTGCAGCACTTACCAAGTCCAATGATGGAAATGCTCTTGAGTTTAAGAGTAATACTACCAACCTTTTCAAAACAGAAAGTGAGATTGTGAAACTGCCCTGCTGTTCCTTAGTGCAATAAATAACAATAAAAAAAATCTCAAATTCAAAACCCACTTATTTTTAACTGGTGCCTTGTTTTGTTTTTAAATTGAGCAGATACTTGCTGTATTCATCTGGTTGATGATGGATCATTGTGTTACCTTTTAAAAAATAGATACTGAATGGAGTTCTGTGTGGAAAAGGGAAGCTGATTTCCTGCTTGTTTGCTTTCCTTTCCCCTGGGGTTGCAGATAAACAGCAGCTGGGGCAGGGGGAGGATGTTTCAGCTGAGCTGACAGTGCTGCATTGTAATTGTGACTGCCAACAGCTGCCTCATTTAGGAGTAATAATTAGGAATCTTTTTCATTTACCTGTGCTGGAGAATTAATGAATAGTTTCCCAGTTCTAGTAAAACTTTTTGATGTAAACTGTGTTTTTGTTCACTTTAGGTCTTTTGAGGATAAAGGTGGTATGAAGGGCTGGGCGGGGTTAGACCAGCAATCCAGTGCTGCTGGGCTGGGGCAAGGCTTGAGGGAGGAGAACGTGGAACAGGGCAGGTGCTGAACATCTAAAGCTGCTAAACAGCTAAACAGTGACTTTGACACTGTGCTCCACGACATCCT